CTCTTCCGTGCTATAGTGTAGACACACTATAGACACACTCGGCTTTAGCTGAGAGCAAAGATGCTATTCATCAAGGCTTTTTTTGTGAGGAGGAGGCCTGTCTTCTAGAGGTAGCACCAACAACCGTTGCTGCATTAAATGTCGGTTGAGTAGACTTCCAGTCATTGCTGACTCGTGCTGATTCACACCAGCAGACCGAAAATGAAAACATTGGTGCTAGCTGCCAGCCCTTGGAACTTCTAAGACCCATTAATATGACAGCAGCACAGTCTCATTTAAACACTGCAGTGAGGAATTAAAAAGGCAGAAAGGAAATCCTTTTTTATGTTCTCTCAACAGCACCACGTTAAATCGTGTTTGGGGTTCTGAGACAGTGTTTCGATTTTCTTTGTGCAGATATGCCTTATTATTTCAGTGAAAATACTTCTGTACACACTTATCCGAAGGAAGAATGATTTTCAGCATCAGTTACTGTAAATGTGTTAAATGTTCAGCCATCCTTTAGTTAGTTGCTCCTTGGCCTAGCACTTCATAAATGCTGCCTAAGCATAGGAGAAAATGATGGCACAGAGCAATCTGGCTCAACAGGGTTGCTGTAGGAAGGATATAATCCCAAGCCTTAAAGGCAGCACTGCTTTTCTTCATGCATTGCCTGATGACTGCCTGCAGTGGAGCTTGCTGTGGTTGACCCCAGGTTACCTTACACAGCTGAACCTACAGGCTCATGAGTAACTTGTATTTAAGCATTTTGTGCAGCTTCTCAGTGGGGAGTGAGGGACATGCTCACAGAGGAGCTTACAGGGATGCTTTAGTCTGAAAGTGTTCTGCTCAGGATGTGAGTTGAGGTTGCAGCAGTGCCGTGGTTGTACAGCAGCATGTGTACTTACACCTTGCACTTGCATCGCATCACATCGTGCTGGTGAATTTGGAGTCATTAAGGGATTTGAGGAGCTGCAGTTGTGCATCTCTTCCTCCATAGATAAACTCTGAGCACATAGGTTAATAAGGAAATGGCCGTGAATTACTGCTGTGCTGCATCTGTAAAATGTTTTGGGAGTAAAATGTTCTCTTGAGAAGTACAGGCTAGCAGCAATAGCAGTTCTTGGTGTCTGCGTTAGATCCTCATAATTTTTTTGTAGAGGAAAGAGCACGCTACATTTTTCTCTTCGGGCGAGCGACTTCCTTTCTCAGCCAGACTTGGCCCGTGCTTCACATACGCCATTTCTGAGTAAGCGTTGGCTGGTTCACTTTCCTGCTCATTGATGGTATGAGGCTGGGCTCTGAAAGCACCGTATCTCCCACTGCAATGTCTCCCTCTGCAAAACAGGATTAAGTGCTGTTATCCAGGTTTGGAGTGCCAAGATAGAGCTCAGCAGAGTCATCCCGGGCCAAGTGAGGCAGTTGGGCTCAGGGGGTTTGGCAAAACCATGCATAGGAACAGTACTGAAAAATCCAGTGTTGTTCTGCAATTAGTTAGTGCTGGTATGTTTGGCATAAATTCAGAGTTGTTAGGGATTTAATATATTTGTATTTGTAATGAAGAGGAGATACATATATTCATCACAGTCACTTTTTTCTGTGCGGTTCTTGGCCCAGACACCCCTCAGACATAGGTCTGCCGAGCCTTCTGTCATTAGTACCGTTCCTTAAGGGAGAAAGTAGCATTTTGATCTTTGCAAGGCACAGCTGCGGTTAGAGTCTTCATGTCTGTAGTGTCTGTCAAAATCTGACCTTGATGTTGCTATTGGCAGAAAACATCCCTACCAGTTAGGCTTTTATGTGAATTCAATTTCAATCATGAATCGGTTGATTGATTTTTAAAAAAAAAAAATTTTTATTGCGTCTTCTGAAAGCTGGGTTAAAAATGAGGAAAGATGCCACTGGATTTTTTTAATGGGAATTCACCATTGGTTCATTCTGCGTTCTTTCTTTATTCCTCTTTTCTAGCTACTGATGCAACTTATAGCTGTTTGCTTAATAGAGGAGGATCACAGAGATATTTTTCTCCCTTATGCTGTGACTTTCTGGGATTTTATAATAAAACAGCAGCCCTGTACTCCAGAGGGGGAGAATAAGAGCCTCTGCTCTTCAGATTGATGAAATGTCAGCCTCTTTAGGCATGAAGAGGGGGCAGTGCCTCTTTTCTTTCCTTAGAAAATAGTAAGCACTGGCGTATCAAAGATGGCAAGAAAAGAGAATCTTCCCCCATTCCAATTGAGGGGGCCCCACAGTGGATCTTGTATAGGCTTGGGTCAGGGGGCTGGGGTGAGGAGGGTTGGTAGTCTAAACCTCACAAGTCTAAAAGAGAAGTTTGAGCAGGATGGAAAGACTGATGAACATCTGAACTTGGAACTTGTTTATGGAAGTTTCACTGAGCCGATGTAGTGGTTGGAAAGCAATACAGAAGTGTACCTATTTCTAGATCATAGAATCGTAGAATAGTTTGGGTTGGAAGGGACCTTTAAAGGCCATCTGGTCCAACCCCCCTGCAATGAGCAGGGACATCTTCAACTAGATCAGGTTGCTCAGAGCCCTGTCCAACCTGGCCTGGAATATTTCCAGGGATGGGGCGTCTACCACCTCTCTGGGCAACCTGTGCCAGTGTTTCACCACGCTCATTGTGAAAAACTTCTTCCTTATATCTAGTCTAAATCTACCCTCTTTTAGTTTGAGATCCTCATTATTATTCAGAAGACATGCATAATGCTTAAATAAGATAAAAATGATCCCTTAAATAGATAAAGAACTAAATGTTTATCTAAAATTAAAATAACAGTCATCATCTTTTTTCCCCTCTAATCTATTTTACTAGACTATTTTGAGGATTGTGGTCCTTGGCATATGGGATTACATTGAAAACAAAATAGAGGTAAGCACTGTTACTCTTTGTACTGTTTTTCAGGCAAACACAGTAAGAATATTAAGAACTGCTTTGGGTGGCTTTGTTATAGACCTGATGCAATACTGTATCTTTTAACTTAGATGCATATGTATATGTATATGCACATTCTTCGCATTTTATGCATGGATACATAGCTGTATGATGCAGTCCCTTTTTCTGTGACAGACTCAGAAAAATATGATATTTGGAAATATTTTATTAAGAAGGGATCGTGGGGGGTTTGTTTTATGTGTTTATTTTGTTGCTAGAGCTGTGCTAGTCTAACTCTGGACACCGCTACCCTGAGATAATGAGCCATAGGAGTGAAAATTGTCACAAGACTTGTGTAACCCCATTCCCGTAATCAAGTTGAAATTAGAACTGGTTGAAAGATTGTGTGCAGTTTTCTGATGGAACGTACTGCTTTGGCAAAACCCCCGATTTTATTGTGGAATTATTTTTAATTAAATTGAATTGTGATAAACACCGTAATTTGTACCTCAAATTAAAAATGAGGTAGAATGTGTATGCTGTTGCAGAGGCAGATAAGGAAATGCCTGTGTTATAAGTAACACGTAATCCTGATCTGACCAGAAATCTGGAGATCAGGGAAATTAACAGCTCTTTCTTGATACTGTCTGATAAACTAATACTGCACGGGACGTACCAGAAGAAAATCTGTGTTTTTTGGAGCTTAAGTGGGTCTAGAGGCTTGCACATTTTTGTAATAAAGCTGTAAACCTTTTAACTTGTTTTGCAAAAAAACTGAAGTGAAACTTAAATTGTTAATCCAGATATTCGTATTATTGGGGCTAAATGCAGCAGTTTCTGATAATTTATTTTGGTAATTTGGTATTTGCAGTGATATTGTTCACTGCCCATCTGCCCAAATAGTAGCCGTAAGAAGTGTTTCTTTTCAATACACTGAATTTTTGTGCACAATTCTGAATGTGTGGTGCCTATAAAATCCATGTCCCTGCCTCCTTATGCAAAACATTAATCAATGGTCTTTGGCAGCTGGGAAGGGTCACAGTAGGAATGAGAACGTGGTATTCTATTCTACCTTGCTAGGTGAGTGTAAGGACAGACACAACACTTGCCAGTTTGCTCTGAAATGTATTTAGTCATGCATTTCTGTCTGATGCTTTGCACAATTGCCTTTTCTGATCTAATCCACAATGCGACTAATGTCATGCAAATCATTCTGAGTAGTCCCAGTTGTCAAAATCCTTGAATACCTAGCTGTCCAATAAAGGTGAGAGCAGGGAGTCTTTCTGTCTTGATGTACGGCTGTTCCCACACATGTTGTATCGTCAGGACATGGCCAAGAGCCATCAAGCCTCTTTGCTCCATCTTTTTCTCCTTGTCTTCTTGATCTCTTCATTTAGACAATAAGATCCATGGGCAGGGACTGTATCCTTTTTTGGGATGACATTATGCCAAGTAACAGGTAATAAATACCAATGACAATAAAACTCTTTGGCTTTAATAGCATTTTAGGCTATCACTTCTGCTTGGGGATTTTGGCCAGCATTTCCAAATACCTTTCTCTCTCCCTGCCCTCCCACCACAGTTTATCTCTCTTCACCTCATAAAATGCACTAAGGAATTCTGTTGTGCTACCTAAAAAGGATGCAGCCTTTCTGGGGCTCGGCCACCTCTCATAACCCTTTCAAATATATACCGTAATTGCATTTCTTTTGGGCAAAGTGGGAGCCCTTCAAGTCCCCAGGCAGGAATGGCAGGGTTATGATCTTTAGGAAGGGTTTGAAAAAACTGATTTCTCTCTAGGTGTTTGATGGTGCTGTCATAATCTTGTCCTTGGCACCAATGGTGGCCTCAACAGTGGCTAATGGCCCCAGCAGCCCATGGGATGCTATCAGCCTTATTATCACACTACGAATATGGAGAGTGAAGAGGATCATTGATGGTGAGTGGTGATTCAGTTTATCACTTCAAGAATTACTTGGCAGACTGAGGAAAAAAGAGGTTTTAAAAATAGTAAAAGATTGCTTGCCACCACTGTTTCTGTTGTTCTCCTTCCCCTTACATTTTAAAAGCACTGAACAGAAGAGAATTATGACTCCCATGGAGGAGAGTAGGCCTCAAGTTTGTGGCTCTATCTCCTGTTCCCTATGAGCCTTTAGAATAGATTGGTTGTTTTTTTCTGTTAGGCACCTTCACATCCCCTATCCTGTGAGGTAAATACCCTGACCTGCTTCCTGTCCCTTGCCACCAGCAGTCATTCCTGATTCTGCAAAATAGTTGCTTCCAATCTGCTTTTCTGCTATTTGCTGCACCCTCCCCATTTCCATACATCTAGCTCTGTCTTGAGGCTTTCTTTTCCAAGTTCTTGTCTCTAAGACAATTTTTATGTCAGATTCCAGGAGCATTTTCTTACCCTGAAGTTTCTATGCTGAAGGGGCTCTCTGTAATGCTGATGTGTTTTACAGCATAATAATGAAGCCTGTATCGGCATTGTTTTGCACAGACCTCTGTGGGGAAGCACCAGCGGAGATAAGAAAGCCCCAGCAAGACCAGGTTGCAGAGAGCAGAACTGGTGGTTGTGCCTGGAAGTAAAGACAAACAAAGTTTGTGTTAGCGATTTCAAGCATTTCAGGTTACAGGGAGAAGAGGTGGAAAGGGAATAAATGAAGGGTCACTTTGCTTGTGTGTGAAAGATCAGAGTCAAGTTGTTACTTTGGGTTTAGATGCCCAGGAATCTCTGTATTCAGAGTTGAGGAAAAGTCGTAGCCCCCTGACTGAAGTGTGCAAGAAAAGTTCAGGACCTTGTGTAAAACAGAAAACATCAAGAATTGCAATATGCATGGATCTGTTTTGCTGATCAGTCTGAGTTTGACATAGTCATGGCAGGAGCAAAATTTCCAGAGACGTTCAGAAGACCTATTGAGAACTGGGCTGTAGCTTGAAAAGCAACAGAAGATAAATGCCTTTTTGTTTTTTAAAATACCCTTCTTAGTCTGCTATTTCCATTAAGGACTTATTTCTTACCACAAAGTCTAGGAATTAAATGCTTAGGGCTCTGGAATAGTTCTTTTCCTAAGGGAGCCACACTGTTCAGGTTTAGAGGGGATGGGCCTAACCCTAAGCAGAAAATCCTCCAACCCAGCAATTCAGGAAATCTGTGGTAAACACTGGAAAGGATCTGTGTTAGTGGAACAGAAGCTAGGAAGGGCGTGCAGGATGCATTTGAGCTCAGCCAGGCAAATGGAGATCTGACCAAACAAGATCTCAACCCTGCTGATGACCTGCATTTCGTATGTTAGAAATCCTTCCCCAGAAGAAACACTCTAGTTCTCTAGATGCAAGTGAAAGGGCGACATTCTTTAGCCAGTAAAGGTCTGTAAAGGTTTTCCCTCTGGTAAAAAAAAAACATATCACAGCTGGGTTACTTTAAGTGCTTATTTGTGTTTTCCAGCCTATGTCCTTCCAGTGAAAGTGGAGATGGAGATGATGATTCAGCAATATGAGAAGGCAAAGGTTATTCAAGATGAGCAGCTGGAAAGACTAACCCAGATCTGCCAAGAACAAGGGGTAAAGTTCAGTTTATCTTTATTTACGCATAGCTTGTCATGGCTAATCAAACATCTCGTGTACTTTGCTGCAAGCTAAGATTTCAGAAGTGCCACTAGGACTTCTGTTGTAAGGTGACAGGTCTCAGTGTTAAGGAAGTATTAGCTGCAGCCAGGATATTGTCAGCGTGCTATTTGTCAAACAGCAGCTGTCTCCCTCTGCTGCTGTGCTTGTGTTTTTTAAGGTGAGGAAAACAAATCTGAAGAACAGAAGAAGAATGCTTCCAGTATGTAATTTATTGAATGAGTACAGATAGCAGGCATAATACTAAGAACATGCAGAAGTCATTGCCATTGTTGGCGACTGCAGCTATATTAAGGCGGCATTCCTAGCAAAAGTACATGCAGTTGAAAGCTAATGAATCTCCCTGCTTTAAATGCAGAAGGCAGCTTCCCTGTAGGTCAGTCGAGGACTCTTTTGGCAGAGTCAAAATGTTGCAACAGAAGCTTCTAGTTGCTGGAAGCAAGTCAAGATTTAAGACTTCCAGGCCCCCAAATGTTCAGCGACACAGCCTTGAGGTAAAGGAAGGTGAAGCTTAAAATATCTCAGACAAATGTATTTACATGAAGAAGGTGTGAAACCAGTGTTTGGAAAACGAGCCAGGAGTTTTTTGCAGTTTCTCATGCAAATGAGTTAGAAACCAGGAATGTTTGTTGAGGCCCAGGCTAAGTGGGACATTCAGGTGACCATCAAACCACAACTGAATGATCCCCCAAGTGACTTACTACTTTTTTCAGTTGCAAAGGTAAGCATGAGGTGTCTAGATAAATCCTGGAGATGTCTAGCTTCAACTCCCACTCGCCAAATGTGCTGGGTGCTTTTCAAATACAAGATGAGGAGACCTGTAAGTCTGAATGGCTCAATCAGTCAAAAAGTTGAAGGACCTGAGCAGATGGGAGGAGGGGCAACTTGTCCCAGAACAGACCAGCTGCCCAAAAAGTGCATGATCTGAAGCAGCGATTGAGGTGCCCATCTTTTACTGAGGAACCTAAAATATTTGTGAAGCCATCAGTATTTAGGTCCCCAAATGGCTTTTTAGATTTTGTTCCAGTTCTCCTGGATCTCAGCCTAGGATTCTGCAATGAACTCTTGGTAGTGTTAGGTTGCCTTGTCTGTGTGATGAATTTGGAAGACCTGTTGACAGTGTGTGTCATTTCATAACACTGTTTCTGACAGTCTCTCAAGTTAACCATAACAGATTTCTAAACCTTAGGCTTGACTTTTGCCAAAAATTAGTTAACTTCCAATTATGTAAGTATCTTCAGTGGCAAAACTGCAGTTCTCTTCATCACAACTTTGCACAATGGATATTAAGTGATTACGGTTCACAACTGCGGTCATAGTTGTGAAATGAGCAGGGAAGTGGTATATGCCCCATTTTACAGGGGAGAGATTACTCTTTGACTGAAAGCATCAGGCAAATCAGTGATTTCTTGAGTCCTGTTGCAGTATTTTGTCTGTCAGACCATCCTATTAGGCTAAAGGTCTTGACAATCATAAATTTGAAAACATGCATTTTTAGGAAGCATATTATGTAGCCAAATAACACTCTCAATCTCCAAACAAGTTTTGGTGGTGTTATTTCGTAGGCTTCGAGTAAAGATGGGTTTGTTATCCCAGGTGGGGTTCAGGAGCAGCTTTTGCCACTCTCCATTCTGATCCATGTATCTGCATGCCTGGCTTGCAAAATGGCTGAGCCTAGGAGCCCTGATCCGAGCTCTGCTGGTTACAGCGTAGCTGTATGTCAAGCATAAAGAAATACTGCGTTGGTAGAAGAGTAAATCTGTGAAAACAGAGCAGGTTCTCTCCTAGCTTTCAAGTGTCAGCAGCTATGGAAAAATATGGACTATAGAAAAATGACAGCATACTAATCCTTCTTATTTTACCGTCCTGACTTCCTGCCAAACAAATGTCTCAGCTGTATAATATGAGGTAAATGTACTAATTTGCTACAGTTAGCAACATAAGACATTGACACAAGTACTGCATCCTTCCTTCGTAAATTAATAGCTTCATAATTCAGTGAAGAACAAGTTGCAGCATTATAATATTCTCATTAACATTGTGTACAGTATCTGGTGGGGAAAAATGTCTCCTGATGGTATTTAATGTCTAAAATTCTGCCAGGTTTTTGCTTTTTCATTCGATTCTCTTTCCTGCCCTTTTTAAAGGATGGCTTGTTCATAGAGTTTGAGTGCGTGTCTGTGTGTTTGAGCGAAGGGTTGCCTGCAGTAGTCTGGCTGTTCTCAAATCTGGAGCACCGGCAGGGAGGGGTTCCAGTTTGCCTTGTCAGTGTGGTACCACCTCCGGCACGGGCAGATGGGGTCACTGGGAGCTGCCCATAGGGGTTGACCTGTTGCCTCAGATACGTGCTGGCGCACACTAATGCCAGCCCAAGTAGGAAGAATGGGCAAGCCACCACGGTTGCCTACGTCCCAGCAGTGGATGTAGATGCTGATTCATCCTGAGCCTGCATCTTTGTGACCACACTGATGCTTGCATTTATTTAATAATTTTAGATAGAGCTGAAACCACTTTTCTGTGATCCTGTGTTCAGTTTCTTACTGCTTGGCCACCTGTCAGGCAATTGGGATGGCAATTCTCAAGGTCTGGCGTCTTCTGCAGCTGAAATTATTTTGAAAGTTTCGGACAAAATACTCATTATTTCTGAGGAGGAATTGGGAAAAAAATTAGCCCGTTTTGTTCAGGATTTAAAACAAAAATAATTGGTGGCCTGTTCTCTGAGAACTCCCACGGCCTCCTGTTTTGAAACTGGTATTTAACGCTTGACAGGCAAAGGTAGAGTTCCCGCTTTAAAAAAATAAAAGCAGGAAAGACGCAAACTCCCTTCATCTTACTTTTTGAATTCTGTTTCTTTTTTCAATTGTATATTTTTTGGCCAGTGATAGGGTATCACAACTATAAAGTACATTTCCATTCCTGAATGACATTGGAGACATACTTTTGCAAACATGAAAACTCTTTCCAGATGTCGATTTTTGGCTAGCTATACATCTGAAAACCAGAATATATTTTATAAATTATAGTCGCACGGACCACCGCTTTGTTCTCTGTAGTACCCCACCGAAACTGTTTGAATAGTTTGCTGTTTTATTTATTCTCCATTGGCCAAGAAAGCAGTCATTAAAAGGAAGTGGAGCATGAGGGCTGAAAATACTGAAAGGGCTGAGATGGCTGTACAGGACTTCACAAAACATGAGAAACGTTAGCAGTCACAGTAAGAAGGATTTTTAAAAATGGATAAAGGTAAAAGGTAAAAAAGCATCTCTGCAATTACTACCAAAAATATGAACAGAGTATATTACTGATGGTATTGTTTTATCAGAATAACTTAACTTAAAATGCAAAACAAAGTGACAAAGTTTTATTAACAGTGCAAGTTCCAGTCAGGGAAGATTCTTTTTTTTTTTTTTTCCCCCCTCTGGAATCACCTGCAAAGGAATTTCCATTTCTGATCATAGATCTACTTACACGATCTTTACTGCTCAACTTCCGTAAGAGTCATTCAGCTGAGTACCGTCCAGCCAAGACGATGTATTCAGCCTTATCACAAGAGCTCCTTTTCTGTCAGCTCCTATGGAATTGGGTTTTTCATCATCCTCAAAGCTGCAACAACTATGGAAGCTATAGTTTCTTCTTTATCTTGGAATGTAATTTGTACAACAGCTGCTAGTTTAATGACAGGGCTATTTAGCTGGTAAAATTACCTATCGGAGAAATAACTTATGTTATCCTTTTGCAATAATTTTAATTTATTTCTAACTACCAGTCATTTTCTTGGTGAATGGAAGACAGCCAAGGTCATCCCGTGTTTCATTCTGCCCATAAATCATTAGTTTGCAACTGTCTCCTGATTTTTATTGTTACCAACAACGGCTAAACTAATGGAAATAAACATTGGATAGTATCCCAGTGGCAGATGAGCTTTAGGGCAGGGCATTTTGTACAGACAGCACTAATAGAATTGAGCAAAGTTATTGCTCCTGTATTAGACACGAGTAAGCTTCTGGCTAAAATGTTCATTGATCTCTCTGAAACTATGTCAATCATACTCTGTTGCCAGACCATTAAAGGGAAGTACTATATGATTCACTGTAAAGTCCCTTTTTGAGTCTTATATCCATGTTGTAAAACATCAGATAGGATGGGTGGCACGTTTTACAAAACCAGGCATGTAAACTGAGATGTTGTCTAGAGCTCTGGGTAGGCCTCTGTCATTTTTTACCTGTTTGTTTCTTGTTTAATCACTTAATGCCTTCTTTGAGTGAGAAAGCGCACAGGTGTGCCCCATAGCTCTTTCCAGTTTGTTTCCTGCCAAAATATTGCCAAGTTTGTGCCACGAGAGGACACATAACAAATTTTGAAAACACTAAGTAAGTTAAAATTTACCAGCAATGAATGTTCTCTTCATGCCTGACCATCTAATTACTCGTTCTTATATGAGATGGCCCGTATCTCCCTTTTTCTTGGTGGTAAGTGTATTTTCGCATTAGACAGGTCTATTACACCTTTATTCAACTCCCTCATGGGAGGGTGTAGACAGGCTCTTCTCGGAGGTGCACGGTGACGGTACGCAAGCTGGATTGTGCAGTATTCAAGTATCCTTATATTCAAGAAACGTGTGGATGTGGCGCTTCAGGACATGGTCTAGGGGACATGGTGGCGCTGGATTAATGGTTGGACTTGATGATCTTGAAGGTCCTTTCCAACCTAGTGTTTCTGTGATTCTGTGATTCTGTATTCGTGTTACGGAAGAACAAACATTTCACTAGGAGAATGGTCAGGCACTGGCGCAGATTGCCAGGGAGGCTGTGGTATATGCAACCTTGGAGATACTCAAAACGTGACGGGACAGGCTTTTAGCAACCTGAGCTAAATGGGCTTGCTTTAAGCGGGGTGTTGGACTAGAGGACTTTCACAGGTCCGTTTCAGCCTAGGTCATGCTGTGATTCTATGAAGTTTTCAAATACACTTTTTTCCATTGCAAAGTATGAGTATGTTAGCAACTTATTGATAAAGGAACCCACCAGAAGCTACCAAAGTATATGTGATTAAAGATAATTAATACCCTGGGTGTCCTGGTAAGTAATGTCAGCAGCAGTCTCAAGTGGACCAGTGCTCAGCTTGTAATTATCTTGAGTCAGGAAATGGTTTACCTTAGTCCCCTTGATCGCAATAAGTTATCTTCCACGCAACAGCATTATTTACCCATGGGCTCCCCGTGGGATTTACAAGATTCTTCACACAGAGCTGATACCTATGAGTAAGTCTTAATTTAAACAAATCGAAGCATGTGGTGAAGTTCATAAGCTTCCCGCCCCCCCCCACGATATGCATCTTCCTTGCAGGCTAAAGGAAGGATGGTCTACCTGAAAATACGAAACCTGGTCTTCTCAGTACAGCTCTCCTGCAGTAGTCTGCGTTAGAGAGGCCCGAATCTACATTCAGATAGCTACATCAGCTACTACTGCAAAAAGAAATTTCATGTGTTTAACTTGGCCCAGAATTTTTACTTAAAAAGGCTGTTATATTTTATACCTTCTAATGATTTATTTAACCTGCCCTGGACTGCATGACATGCAGTCAGAGCAATCTCATTAGCTCTTTTACACATTAGAACTGCCTGAGGTCAGCGTTCAATATAACGTTCAATAGATATAAGCACCTACAATGTAATTTGCTCATGCAGTCTGTCATTGAATTACACCCGTAAGGAACACCTACTTCTCTTAGACTTAACCTTTGTTTTTAGTGGGCAGCTTTTAGTGGGCAAAACTGTATTCCAGCTTTTACAATATCTTGGGATAATTTTTAAGTAATAATTGGAAAAAATTAATATTGAACAGACCTCCTGAGTAGATGCATGCCTTTAGTGAGCAAAAATCTCTGTTTCTTTTTTAACTTTTCCGAGATATTTAATTTGAATGTCCTTTTGTTTTCTTAAATCGATCTTTATGATAAATGGTGATTTTTTTCCACCCCACCCAGTCCCTTTTTGAACATGCTTTCAGAGTTTGGGTTTGTGTTTGGAACCAGTATATTGGGCTGGGTTTTGGCTCTGTTTTAGGCTCTGTGTCTATAACAGTTAGGGTTCTGCACCTCTGTGGAACATGTTGTATAGATCGCTTTGCATCAGTAACGGTGAACGTGGGAGTGAGACAAATACCATTATTACAATGAATGCCCTCCTCTCTGTCAATAAAAAAATGACAGTTACACACACAACAGTATTTAATTCCAGCTTTCCACTGTTTTAGTGACTACATAGACTTCAGGGCAAACATGAATGGTACCTGGAAGCTAGACCGTCTGAGGTAATGGAGAAATGGAAGGGAGAGCCCGTGTCAACCAGCTGCAGCTGGATGGTTTTGTAGGCAACATCAGTTTCTGCTGTTACCTTTCTGAACATCTCAGTGTGCTATTATTCACCTTGCGCATGATGTTGAAGGCCAGAGTACCGTGCTGCTTTGCTGTGCCTAGGAATTCAATCCTCGTATCTGCTCTTGACAGTCTCATGTTCAGTCCTGGATTTTAGACCAGCTGAACTAGCTCAATGTTAAGACCTGAAAGTAAGACAAGCATGTGGATTGTGCTTGCAGCTAGCAATAAAAGAGGGTTCATATATCACTTAAAAAGCTGCAAGTCTTGCATACACTTCTCATCCTCAGGCAGTGGATGAGGGAAGCATTGCATGAGCCAAAACATCAGGTCTAGGTTTCAGTTTCTGCTAGAATGTCATATTTGTGTGATCTTCATAAGCAGGTGCTTCCTCTGCTGGTGTAGGCACAAGCATGTATTTCTGTTGGTCAAACATAAGATGGCAGCAAAGCCTCTTCTGTTTCTGACTGTACAGGGGTACTAACTGTCCACTGGAATAACTGTAGTCATCGTTTTCTCTGTAGAGTCCAGTTTCTCATGCTGTCCGTGTGGTTGGGATTCAACTAAGGTAGTAATTTTTCCTATATGAATGGGAAATAAAGGATTATTTGGACAAAGGGTAGTTGTCCAGCATGGTGATCCCAGCAATGGTTGCAGACCGCTGCTTGGTCCAGCGTGCCAGTCTGAGTAGTTCATAGCTTGTTGGCAGAGCCATATTAAACCATAAAAATTATCAACTCATCTGTTAAAAACTGGGCATGGAAATTTTAAAGATTGCCAATAATCTGTGGATATTTGGAAACGCTCTATTAATTCGAACATGTAAATGGGCGTCAGAAAGTCTGGTCTCTTCTCCCATTTTTGCCATAGGTTCACTGTAGCAGGAAAGATCGCGTAATGTGCTTCCTTTTTCACATCTGTAAAATGCGGTGATACCCTTCAAGCTTTTGCTTGTGAAAAGGTTCGGCCAATCTTTGTAAACGCTTAAGCTGGTTAAATTGGGTGTGATGCAGAAGTGCAATTGTTGAGCTGACTTTTAGGTACTTTGACCTACTTGTGTTATAAAATACCTGCCAATTTTTTTTCTCTTCCGTGAAAAAAGAAATCGTATCCTGCCTCTAGGCCAGAATTAAGCATTTTAGTGGCAATATTTCTTTTTCTGGCAGATGGGAATTTTTGAAGGATGAAATGTAGAAAAATAATAATGATACCTAATTCTTATTGCCTTTTAGTTTGACCTAGGCAAGTAGATATGCTTAGACAATAATTATTTTTTTTTTTAAATCGCCAGATTTATTTTTTACCTCTCATATTTGAGTGCATTTCTTCCTTTAAACCAAGGGAGTGTCTGAAAGGGTATCTTCTTCCATTTAAAGGTGAAATCTAGGATTTTGGGGGACTTCTGTTTTTTTCAAGTCAAGGATAAAACCTGAAATTCTCCGTCTTGTAGTGTTGAACTCTAGACAGTCCTATCATGGCTGAATGACACATTCATACTGGCACCTCTGGTATGGCACAAGCACCTTAAGCCTCAGGAAGCTTAGGGCTGGCTAGGAAAAGAGCGAGTTCTCCCGGATTGCTCCTTCTTCCTAGCTGATAAGTTAATACGAACAACACCATCTGGGACCTGCCATGGAGGTTTCATTGCAGGAGTCAAGGAGCAGGGCTGTATTTTGACATTTGCTGATACTACCTGACTCCTCCGACTGCCGCTGCCAGAGGACCTTTGGTTAAGAGCAGTGAGCATTTCATGCAGCTAGCTGCCTGCAGCTGCCAGACCTTTGTCCGCTGATTTTGAGACAGAGAAAAAGCTGTGCATTCTGTTACATCTCTATATTAGGTAGTCTGAAGGTGATCTGGAAAGCTTAAGCTGCCCTTTTGCTCTCTAGATTTGAGTCTTGCAGTGCACCTTCCAGATACTGTAGTTCCTTCCCTTATGCTCTGGAAAGCAGATAGTCTCCAGATGTGGCAAACTGGAATCTCTTTTTCTTTCCTCTTTTTGTGTTTCTAAAATCTGCGGAAGCTGTATCTTGTTTGCCCTCCGGTCGCTTACACGGCTTGGAGGAACTGCTGGTGCTCTGCAATGTGCCTGGGGTTTGCGCCGTGTCTGATGTGGACCGTGGTGGATCAAGCTAGGTCTGCTGATGGATTCCAAAATCCGACAGCAAAGAAATTTGAGTTGGCATCTGAGAGGCAAGAGCTGGAACCAGATTCATTTAGCCTACATGCTGTTGCACACCAGTTTTCAAGCATTGAGGTGCTAACTCCATCTCTGTTGTAAACGCGGAGTGACGGGGCACTGTGGCTCGCCATAGCATCGTGCTTTCTGATGGCTTTTCAGGCCTTGAACTATGGGAAGTCCAGCGATGCTAAATTTTAAATGCTTTAGCCTATTACTCGCCTCATTTGCTTTTTCCTCTCCGACTCTCTATAATTAGATATGACTGGGTCACTGCTGTACTACTGATCTTAAAAAGAGTTTAAAAAAGAGCAACCTCTGCCACGTAGTCCCATAGCTGTGCTGGATGGAAGAGGGGAAGGACAGTGTCATCTCGTAGTACCTATTTAAGGGTTCAGAGAAGGGTCTCTGCAGCCTCTCCAGAAAAACTTATTTTCCTTCTCGCATTGCGGAAGGCCTATGACTGTCAAACCCAAGAGGAATATGCAGAGTCCATCAGTCAGATTGTACATGGTAGCTTCTGTCTTTTTGTCAGTGTCTGTTTTTAACACCAGCCACGAGGCAAATACCCTCCTGCCTGCAGAAAGTCCTTAACCGCGGTGGCTCATAATATTTGAGGGGAGAGGCCAGAAAAGTGGCAACCTTCCCCAGGGCTTTCTGCAACACTGTTGAGTACAGAAGGTTTCAAGCTGGAAGAGGACTGTGGTGTCCCTCCCCCTTGCCCAGTCAGTGGAGGCGGACCATTCTGGGCACTGCTTGGAGAACCTCCCTCCAAAGAAATCCTCATGACAAAGTGTAGCAGATTAGGGATGTTTGTCATGATCCTAAATCCCTAGGTGCCTGTTAAGAGTGGCATTAAGTGTTAAGAGTGCCTGTTAATCTTTTTCTACAAAGATTTCATTTGATTTGGCAGCTAGATCTGATAAAAATTGTCCAAAGTCATATCTTCAGGATGCAGGCATGTACAAAGTAGAAGACCAGCATGAGGCAGTCGTTATTTTTAGATTATGTGAACAATGGTCCAGCTCACATGGGCTCTGGGAGAACATCAGCAGCTTGGACTCCTATTCTGCCTTAACCACATTGTATTTACTGTCACCAGCGTGTAACGGTTTAGTGATAAAATGAGTAATAGGTCCCCAACTGTAGAATATAGACTTCTGGCCATGCTTGTATGACATCAGTATGTGGTGTTGTTTTCTCCTCTAGTTTGAAATCAGACAGCTGAGGGCCCACCTTGCTCAGCAGGATCTGGATCTAGCTGCAGAGAGAGAGGCTGCGCTGCAGGTCCCACATGTACTGAACAAACAGAGCAGCAACAGGTACAAGGTGGTAGCAACTGAGGATTCGGATGATGAAACCACCGAGAGCATCACTGAGCTGCGACATCCACGAGGTGAGTGCTGCCTGCGTGCTGCTACCCACTGGCACAGCTGGTCCCTTACATGGAGTTATCGAACCCACTAAATACTTCCACTCTGCCAGTGAATTGATTACTTTCCCTGGAGACGGCATTTTCCCATTGAGGCTGTGTCTGCTTCAAAGTGGCAGGAGCTGTTGTATTTGCGAACAGATTCTGAACAGAGCCAATAAAATGACCCGGGAAGAAAATAACGATGATGTACCTTCCCAGTGTCCTTGTGATTATATCCCTCAAACACTAGAGGAGCAGCAGCCGCCAAATCGGAATTGGCAAAATGATAATCACTCAGAAGTAGAAGCAGGGAAATGGAGAACAACATTGAATAACAGTTTTGGTCTTTAGCCACTTTAATTTCTGTGGTTTAGAGAGGACCCAGACATTGCCTATGAAGCTTGCCTTGCCTAGAGGCTATGTTCTCACCAGGTTGCTTAAAACTGCTGACACTGGACAGCCCAGCTGCGCTTGGACAGGGCAGCTCTGGTGCCAGGAAAGGAGTGATGCACTGTGTAGGCAGCTCCTGCTCGGATGTCTCTGGGTGCCACGTGACTATGGTGGAGAGCAGTCCATCGTCTGTGAGCTGTCTATTGGGCAGGTGTGTGGTTCAGGGGAATATCAACAGTTGTATTTACTTGGATCCATTTTTATCGCACAAGTGCTTAGACCAGAAGTATTTTTGGAAAAGTCGTAGCTCTTTTTCCTGTGATCCCCCAACCCTTACAATGGAGGGCTGAATGTGTAATCTCAGTAACTGATCTCGGTAACGTAATATTCCAGAGGAGACAACACTTTTCTACCTTAGCTGGTATGTTAGTCTTCCCTGGACATCTTAGCTTGATGATTTTAGTAGATGAGCAATATGTGAATATATCTGAAGTAGAGGTTTGTGTGGTATCTTTATTTTGGTTAAACTTCTTAGAATTCAAGGCACAGAAGTCCTTTAATCAAAAGGTTTAAGAGAAAATGCGCACCAGACATTTTCAAGTGATAATCCTTTCCATTCTCTACATAGTAATGAAAGCATTGTAGAAATTGGTTTTGGTTTTTTCCTCTTCATAATATCTAAGTGCTAACCACAAGTCAGCCGTTAATTATTCCTGATTTGAAATTGTATTTAAAAGCGGCAGTTGAGCAGACTGCCTCTGAAAATGCATTTTCTCCTTTTTTGTAGGATTTCAGAGGTTTCCCCAGTGGTTATATTATAATTTATGCATGCGTTCCTTGAGGGTTACATTTGGAGTGTTGTGCACATTATAAGGAGGTTTGTTGAAATTTTAGTGCTGTGGAGATTCATCTAAAAACTCTTCTGTCCCAGGTATTCATTCCATCATCCAAGTTGACACAAGTACTCATTATTTGTTTCTCCCTGTAAAATGTTGGCCCCACATGCAACAAGTAGACACACAATCTTCAGGACCGACTTCTATGTTCAATTAGGTTATGTGATTAGGGAGATGCGTGCTTTTCACTGAAAAAAGACTTCCAGCAAATAAGAAAACATGCATTACTTTACATATTGGGTAAGGTGCAGTTATGTTATATTTAAAACATTCATACTGAGTATACAGAATTAATTTCTGATTCCCAGAAGTCATCTTGAAAATACAGGAGGAAATATTTTTTGTGCATTGTACCATGTATTACATACAAAGCCTTTGTAGATGCATTATTTTGAGCGCTTGTCCTTAGAAGCCAAATTTGGGTGACTCCATTTAAACAATTGTCCTTTATGTTGAATGAGGCAGGAGTTGGACAGAAAAAATTTCCTTTTGGTCTTATAGCAAGGGACACCCATCTGTGATAGTCTACCGTCACGGTGGGCTACCAACGAGGGGACCGGGTTAAGACTGCATGAGAAACCACAGGCCCAGCAATAACACTCAGTGCTTTAGTTCACAATTCAGGTTACAGTCAGTGGAGGCAGAGGATTTTGCAAAGGAAAGTAGTAGTAAGCTACCAAGGCTTTAAATCCTGCACTAGCAGCGCTGGCTTAGACATTGCTTCTGCGTAAGCTACAGGACTTCAAAACCTCAACTAACAGCTTGAGAAGGCAGTTACCCCTGGGGAAGAGAGATCATGAGCCAGCCCGCCTGGTTCTTCTCCCTCCCCACCTCAACAGGGTCTTTCTTCTCCAGCGCTCCCAGCGCTACCTTGCACTCCCAGTTGCTGCAGCAGCTTTCACCATTATGACGTTGGCATGCCGCCAGCATTTCTTCACCTGCACCGTGGCCACTCTGGCCAATACATGTATCAGCAAAGTCTGAATGAGTGGTATGTTGGGTGGAAGAAGACCACGTCTTCAGCTAAAGGTGCCTCCCATTTGCGCAGTGTGGAAGGGATATATGTGGTTGCTGTAGGATCTCCCCACCTGCTCGGTCACATGAAATACTCCTGGGACCTGGCTCTGCAGAGCGTAGATGATTAAGATGTTTCCTGTAGGTCATTTCCGTATCCTTCCGCACCTCACGTGCTGTGGTTACACTGGCTGTGCTACCTTCAGGTCTTTCCACACCACTTGCTCTGCCTGGAACTGTAAGCCACCAGTGTTTTAAATCATGACTTTTGGGTCAAGGGTTGTGTTTTGCAAGTCACCCCCTGTGTCAGACCACATTAGGAATTGTTCTGCATCCATTTTCTCAAAGCTGTGTTTCTCCTCCTTAAAGATTCCAGTGTGATGAATGCAGTTAATCATTGTGTGTGCCACGTGGCACTTGTGAGCTTTGAAAAATATCCGCAGTTGCCTCTTACACCGAGTAGTTGGAGGAGAAATAAGGGACCGGGTTGCTAATACTGATAAAGAAAAGCTACAGTTCAAAGCCACAATTGAGCTGTTGGGCAAAGCAGGCTCGGATGTGCTGTTCTCTTGTGCTCTGGCAGAACATTAGCCCTACATATACCACCTGAGGGTAGGGTATGGCACGGAATGCGTGTGTTTGTGCCAAGCTTAACTTTGTCAGCCTTCAAAAAAAATCACCATCTTTGGAGAGCCCTGAATTCTGCCAAACCAGCAAGCTTGAGTTGGCTAAGGAACATACTGCATGAGAAAACGGGATATTCCGTCTCAAGCTAATCTTATTTCCCCTGTCTATATTGAACAATGCAAACATTCAGCGCAGAATACTTTACCACAAAGGGGTTTTGGAATAGGAAAACATTCATACTCATTTCCCTACCTGGGAGTTTTATGGCACAGTGCATAAGTTACAGCTCCTCAGGGGCAGCTGTAGCTTGTACTCTGGTATTTACACTGGATTTAGTGCAGCCATTTACTACAGCCTTCAGTGAAGTCAGTCAGGTAACCCCAGCATCATGTGGTACACACAGCACCTCGGGGAATTGGTGTAGAAACACACACTATGGCCTGCACCAGGAGAGTACTGTATGTATTGGTTGATTTGGTAGCTTTCAGTATGTGTTTTCACCCAGCTTTTCTTTCTGCAGACCTCTCTTTACCTGAAGTGCCTTAATTGCTGGTACAAGACTGGCGGAGGCAAGAGCTCTAGTCAGATGGTCAATGGGCTCTGAAAAGTGTCCCAGAACTCCCCAGCTAATATTTCATGCCTCTTTTTGAAGGACTGCTTCTTGAGGCAGTACAGCTGTAAGCTGTTTATGGCCTGGTCAGCCCTGTGCTAATTCTCTGAGTAATGAGCTGGTTGCTGCCTCACATGCTTTTGTCTCCCCAGAGTAGCTTACCGAGAGACTTCCTAACATAGTAGGAATAACTCTGTGGAAAATGTGTAGATATATGGTATTTTCTAATTAATTTGGCTAAGAAGCGGGAAAATTTTCACCTTTAACTTGCTTTGAATGGAGGTTTTATTTGTATTGACAAAAAATTGATCTCCAGAGCGGACAAACATGAAGGCGTCATGACAAACACGAAACACGGGCTTCAGCGTGCAAGTCAAAGGGTGCCATTATCAACACCAGGAAAGGTGATGGACTCGAGAGAAGGGCAGGACTCTCTAGTTTCCAGGAGCTATAAACCTAGGGCAAAGCTGTGACGTTTGCTGCACGGTGAGCACTTTACTTGGCTCCTCGGTTCGTAAAGAGCTTTAGGGTGAAAGCCGTTGCATGTGAATGCACGGCAGTATCGCTAATGACTTTCAGGACCATTGTGGTCAGCCCTTCTCTAAGAGCAAGGGAGATACCCTAAGTGCTGTCATCCCCTTTCTTCTTCCCAGAGATGGTTAGCATTTGACATAATGGCAAGTATTGTCTTATCTGTTCATCTCTAAATTATAAAGCAAGTTTTTTCTCTTGCTGAGTTCTTGCTTCATACAGTATGTAACTGGTCGTGGTCAGAATAACATCTAATGTTTTCTGCTCCTGCACAAATCATTTTTAGTGTTTGGTATACAAAGTTCCAGACTTCAGGGAATGCCAGGTTCACAGTGCCCCATGTAGCCATTAATACTTCCTTCCAAAATTTATTATTCTGTAATCTCTCCCATAATACATGAATTACAGTCCCTAGTGGAAATTCCTCATTTTCCTGCATATATCATTTCATTTTTTGAAATTCTACAGTACTGCCATAGTTTAAGATTAATATGCTACCCTTCCATTCCTTTGAGCAAGAACCGGATCCTAGCTCTGTTACTTTGAATCGCAGAAAGCTTATTTTAGCTATTCTGAGTCAAATTTCCATTTTTATGGGTTTAGCAGTAAGTCTCTTGCTTTGGGGGACTGCTGCAATTTATGATCCCACTTGGAGAAATGTAAAGCTTGCTCTCCCCATAGCTACCCACTCTTTTGTAAGTGAAGAAAGTAGGATATTGGGAGGGGGACGTGAAAAAATCTGGAGCTTCGGAGAGCTTCCCTTAAGCTTATTCATCAGCTGTCTGAGAAGGCAAAGCAGGGCACTGGAAAGGATTTTGTCAGTTGTTCCTTGCAAGGCAGTCTGAGCTGGTTGAACACTTTTAAACTCTAAGCCAGTTCCTTTGGTGATCATCTGTTAGTGCTCTGAGAGCCCT